TKWTATGCCAGTTTACGCTTCTTCTCATGTTGTTGTATTRTGAACCGGGGCCATATTYATAACCTCTTTCAAGCTTAAAATGCCATGGTATTATGATAGGTATGTTCTAACAATGGGACGTGTGTATGCGACGAAGGCTATGATTCTACCTCATCATGCTCAAAAGGTAATTACCAAAAAAACTACGAACCACCTACCAACCAACATAACCAGACCGAGAAAACAACTGAACCATGGCTGACTACTTTATGTACATTGCCTGTGTTACAGCTGTTTCGCGTGTGGACGGCAAATGGGGGGCATGGTCATCCTGGTCCAATTGTTCTAGAGTATGTAACGGTGGTACGCGCATGCGTTTTCGATACTGTGACAACCCAAGGACTAAGAATGGCGGGGAAATGTGTCCAAACCAACGCATGATGGAAGAGGAATGCAACACAGACGAGTGTCCAGGTAGGAAAAAGTAGTAATTATTAGAAACTTTCGGTATTAATAAATTACCCAAAATGACGTGCAAACAAGAAATTGGAYCACTCGACAACATCTAAAAATGTTGATAATTGTTTGAAGACGATTCTTTGATAATTTTGTATGTTGTAACATAGCGGTTTTAAAAGACAAACTGTTTTTTTTAGTACGACTTAACTGTTTTTTCGATCTTTTCAAAGAGACTCATTCATGCCGTCATCTTCAAGAAATTGGCAAAACCAAGAACAAACCTTATAAGGACAACAYCTACAAGATCAATCCCGACGGAAAAGGCCCTGTGATGACGTATTGTGACATGTCACGTGATGGTGGTGGCTGGACACTATTGGTTACGAGTTACACTAACTCATGGACGAGTGAGACTGTTAAGAAGAAGAACGAGGAGAAGCCGAGTTTGAAGAAGGACTTCTCGATCTTGTTCAAGGCGGATGACATTAAGAACAGTTTAAAAGTGCAGGGAGATTAYTTTGAGTATCGAATCGAGGCTAACAAGTTTGGTATGTCATAAAATACAAAATAACGTCATCAGCAGCAAATCATCTTTATCTATCGCTTTGTAGGTCGATGGGGAGGAGTATGGAAAGCCCCTCGTAGTTACAGTTTCCTAGCAACCGATAACAAGCAAACTGACGTTAAGCTGGAAAAGAAGTTTGACGACTGGGAGTACGACTACCTTGGCATTGATAAACGAATGCCATATTTGTACAAAGAACGGCTGACTTTAACRCAGAACCCCAAGGATGTCATCTATGGGTCCATTACAGGTAGGGTAATAAGAGAACGAATTAAGGTGCGCGTTCTTGCATATTGATATATTTTACAAATTAACTTTCGATTTTTTTCCGTCAACCCACATGATGATTCCAATCTTTTTATCTTTCCAAACAGTTGTGTAAAGAAGATAAGTTTAACACCGTAAAAAAGTATGGGAAATAACGAAGGATTAACATCCGAAACGTCAGTAAGTTATTTCCCATACTTTTTTACGGTGTAAAACTTATCTTCTTTACACAACTGATTCTTTAGAAACACCGACGCAGCTCACACTAGTTTACCGCTAGTTCCCACCATTTTTTTTATCTTTCCATTCATTTCATCCCATTCATTCATTCATTCATACATTTATCCATCTATCCCTCCATCCCTCCAGTCCTTGTTCTGATCATCAATGCGTACACACCAATCATTTCATGCTCATCGACCAATAAACAAGCTTCTTATCTTCAAAAATCGACTCTGTGAGACTATGGCAATGTCATTGTTTTTTCAAGCAAATCTAAAGAAATACCATCCAGCACCTTGGATATATGGYAAAGAGAAAGAGACCCAACCAGCCTATATATGGTACTGGATGAGAGAGGGCAGATATAAAGAGCCTTCGACGTGTATGGACATCTTGACAAGAAGTTTCACTGGAGAAAGGGCTCAAGGTATGGTTTTCT